CAATTACCGAAGAGTTAGGAACGATCGTGTCGGCACCCCGAGCGGCGGCACACTTATATACTATAAAAAATCTCTTCATTGCGTACCGGTAGACACGCCCGTGCTCACACATCTCGAGGCCTCTGTCTGTCAGCTGGCTTTAACCGGTCACTCTCCTATCACCATAGCATCAGTTTACCTCCCTTGCAGACCAACCGCAACAATATTGCATTCAGATTTTGAGGCCCTCTTCTCTGTAGGAGGAGCCACCATCCTAGCTGGCGACTTCAACAGCAAGCACACCCGATGGAACTCGACACGTACCAACAGTCGAGGCACCGCACTCGACTCGCTATCCGACAGGCTCGACTTTGAAGTCGCTGCCCCCGTCGAACATACGCGCTTTCCTTACGTAGAGGGACACACATCGGATGTGCTTGACATTGCACTCGTCAAAAACATCATTCTCTCCTTATGCGAACCGGAAGTGATACACGAGCTTCACTCCGATCACCGACCAGTTCTCCTCCGGCTAGGGCCTTCAGCAACAGCCGCTCCCCTAACCAAAACTGTCATCAGCTGGCATAAAATCAAATCTAAATTTAACGAACCTAATCCTCCACAACTAGAGTCAATCCCTGGAGAATTGAATACCAAACAGGACACGGAAACCGCAATTCGAGCCCTCACAAGCCACGTTAACACCATCGTCGAGCAATGCTCGAGACAGGTCCCGGCGATGGAAGACCATCGCTGGGCCCTGCCAGACGATGTGCGAGACCTGCTGAGACGCAAGAATGCGGCCACTCGAGCCTATGATAGATATCCCACCGACTCGAATCGTAGACTGCTACGTAAATTGCAGCGTGAGGTCAAAACACGCATAGCAGACTCACGAAACGAACGATGGGACTCCACCCTAACTTCAGTAAAACCATCCCACGTAGCCTTCTGGAAACTTCCCAAATCCCTCAAGGGTAACGGCATAACAACCATGCCGCCACTAGTCCGTCCGATAGGTACGCCAGCAATGCTGGACGAAGAGAAGGCCGAATGCCTGGCTGACAGCCTAGAATCTCAATGCTCCCCCAGTCTGCTTCTGATCGACCCCGAACACATCCGCAATGTGAACGAAGAGGTAGAAAGGAAAGCCTTAGAGCCACTTCGCGATCCCGTTCCCCCAGTCACGTGCTCCGAACTAATAGACACCATTAATAAACTACGCCCGCGTAAAGCACCAGGCTCAGATGGTATCACCAATAAGGTGACCAAGCTCCTCCCTACTAGCATCCTTCAGATACTAGTATTAATTTACAACGCGTCCTTAACCGAAGGCTTCTTCCCATCCGAGTGGAAGGAAGCCGATGTCATAGGGTTCCTCAAACCCTCTAAACCCGCCACTCTCCCAAACTCATATCGTCCAATAAGTCTTCTCAAAACATTTGGGAAGATCTTTGAAAGACTAATATTAGCCCGCTTAAGATCCCTTATGGGCACCAAAGGGCTCCCCATCCCAGAGCAGTTTGGATTTAGAGCCAAACACTCATGTACCCATCAAGTGCACCGCATCACGGAGCACATTTTAACTAAACGTCAACGTGGACTCAACACCGGTGCACTCTTCCTGGACGTGGCAAAAGCGTTCGACAAAGTCTGGCACAACGGGCTCATATACAAGCTATACGGGTACGGAGTGTCCGACCGTCTCGTATGCATAATACGAGACTTCCTAAGTAATCGAACCTTTCGCTATCGCGTCGAGGGCGTGTGTTCGACTACGCATCCCGTTCGAGCCGGGGTGCCCCAAGGGTCGGTGTTGGGACCAGTCTTGTTCACTCTCTACACCAATGACATGCCGCGTGTCAAAGATGTAGAACTTGCTCTTTTTGCCGACGACACCTGCATCTATACCACAGGCAGAACACCCGAATTGATCCATCGACGCCTCCAAGCTGCGGCCATCACCATCGGTGACTGGTTTCGGCAATGGAGGATCGAAATCAATCCCGCCAAAAGCGCGGCAGTCCTTTTCGCGCACAAAAAGAACATACCCATTCCACCCCCCGTTAAACTCTTGGACAGCCCAGTACCATGGGTTAATAAAGTCAAATATCTAGGCGTCGTCCTCGACTCCCAGCTTAAATTCACCCAGCACGTGACCCAGGTCAGGAACCGGGCGGCCTTCGTACTCGGTCGCCTCTACCCGCTCCTCAATAAAACGTCAAAAATGTCCCTTCGGAACAAGGTGACCTTATATAAGGCAGTAAGTTCGCCCTATCATGACGTACGCGAGCCCCGTCTTCGCTCACATTGCTCCGAAGCAAATACACCGGCTTCAGGTGATTCAAAATCGATTCTTGCGCAGAGCCACGGGAGCACCCTGGTTCATGCGCAATATCGACCTACATGTCGATCTAGAATTGCCCACCATCGCGCAATTCCTGAAGTCGGCGTCGCGCCGATATTTCGATTCCGCCGCCGCGCATCCCAACCCACTTATCGTAGGTGCCGTCACGTACAGGCCCTTGCCGCTAAATATTTTCCGCCGCGATTACCAAAGACCGCGTCACGTTCTCGACTTCCCTGACGATGAGACGGTTATCGCCATCGAAAGGATCAAAAAACTCAAGAAACACACCAACGCACACCGCACTCGCCGGCGAGTGCGGCAAACATATACTAGGTTCCGCCACGTACCTGGCAGGTTTTCCCCTATTAATGACAGAAGCGTTGCTGGAGTTTCTTCCGCCACTTCTTCTCCCAGCGCCAACGCTCTCCGAAGAGGTAGTAATGTTAGCTCTAGTAATTCCCCCAGTCAGATAATAGCTACCGATCGAGCCGAGGTCCGGCCCTCTCGGGCACCCTCGAATCGGAATGCTAAACGCGTGCTGAGTGACAGCCCAAGCCGAGGTCCCCTCTCGGGGACCCTTGAGCCTGATCACTCCATGGAGCGCCCGCCAAAGCGCCCTAAGAGCTTGGCGGCCTCCCAAACCAGTAATAATAATAGCGTGACGGCCCGAGCCGAGGCTTCCCCGGGAGCCCTCGAGCTTAGTCACCATAACGCGTAATAATAGTACGCCGAGGTTCAGGCTAGGCGCCTTGTGCGCCAGGCCACCTCAAGTCCGTCGGATCTGTAAAGGCCTCTAAGGCTAACAGTGGCTTATCTAGCCCAAAAAAAAAAACCCTCTCATGTTATGAATTAATAATTTTAGTTTTCAACATGTTCGATTCTCATTTGTATTCGTAATTATGTAATTTTCTTTAATTTTTTCTTTATCGGGGTTGGAAAAAAATTTAGTGTAACATTTTTGCGTTACGCGCCATCTTGTTGTTGTGGTTTTAATAGTTGACGCTAGATGGCGTTAGTTCCTTTGTGTGTTTATATATATATATATATATATATATATATATATATATATATATATATATATATATATATATATATATGTTATATTAAAGTGATCAACAAAATCAAAGGGTTTATTTTTATTCTAATTCTAAAATGTAAACAATATATTTCGTATTTCAGTTACCATAAGCCATTAATAACACAAATATATAATAACGACATCAATGATAGTAATAATTCTATTGCAATTAATCCTGGAACTTGCGGTTGCGACGTCGATCCAACGTCCGCAAGTTCAGTTTTCCAAAAAAACTTAACTCACAACACTCGCGCCTCGAATGTCTGCCTTCTCACTGGCTGACTAGTCGGCAACGAAGGACGCAAGTTGCAAGTTTTTTTATCAACAATTTTTGCGGACCCTCATACTAATTACAACGGTCAAACCATAGTGTGTTTTAATTTACTACTAACGTCACCTATGTATTACAAATAAGAAACTAAATATTATACAAAGCTAAAATGAAATAATTGTAGAATTTGTATTTATGTCTATGATAATAAAAGCCTTTTATTAAACTTTATCTAATTTAACATTATTTAACCAATTTCTGTAAAGTTACATATAGTAAATTATTTTTTGAAAAATAACGTCATAAAAAAGTTTCACTTCTTACGAGTGTACGCTAGTACACGCACACATTTTTTTTTTTATTGTAATCAAGCAATGTAGCTCTCCTTAAGGTCACCTACGGCGGGGGTGCCAAAAGGATAAAAAATGTGGAAAGGGATGGACACCTCAGACCAGTTCCCGACTGCCCCCTGAGTGTGCAACTTCTACCCACGTACGCGTTCCGCTCGCAAGAGTGCCTTCCCCCGCGACCGCGAGTGCAACCGTGCAGCTCTGTATCTCCCCTTTTCGTAAGGAAAAGGGGCTGACAGAACGCGCGCAAACAGTGCGAAAGGATCCCATATAACATCAGCAGCCCGTGCACCCCTCCCCGCTCGCTGGGCGCCTCGCTGGGCCTCCCCTTTTGGGGTCTCACCCGGTGGGTCCGCCCGCGCCGAGGGGAGCAAGGTGCATGTCCGCTCGCTAGGGAATAGCACTGCCCGAATAAGGGCCCCCGTCCGACATGTCGGACAAGGGTGATTCCCCCACCCAACGCCGTAAGCGCGAGAAGCGCATACCGGCGGTCGTGGATCGACAGCTCGCCGCGCGAAACTTGTTCACCGGCGAGCAACCGACGCCGCTACGCCGATTAGATCAAAGGCGCCATCACCACCACCGGCAGCCACCACTGTAGAACACCTCCCCAGCGCGCCGGACTACGAGCCCACGTCTGGGAAAGCGCCCGCGGTGACCACGCGGATATTCGGTGGCCCGGCATATGAACATGCTAGGGCCACGAATCCACTCCCTCCGCGACCCGCGAAGGCGCTACGCCGACATACACCACCAGAAACCGAAGCATCTCTATATGAAAAACGCCAACGCGTGGGCGCAGAGATATCCACACCGGAAAAACACGCAATTGATGCGGGAGCAAGAGCGTACTCACAACCGCCACGCTCGCCGTCGTCGGACTCGTCAACCGTACGATCCGTACGATCCACGCCGAGCTCTTCACCCGATCGACGACAACAACAACATCAACCATCATACGATCTGGAAGAAATGGGAGGCGAAGCAGTGTGGACAGACGTCACTTCGTATGCCACATTCGCCCCCAGCACGGATAGTAAATACCGTCGTACAACGCCACCGCGTTCACCACAGCCGTCGACTTCCTACGCAGCGGCGGCCATGCTAGCCTCGTCTCCCAAGACGCAGGCAGCACCCAAACCAAAATCGCCAACACCACCGCCATCTAAGGCACAAGAACAGGAGGGCACCCGTAAGGGTTACCCTCCCATTATAGTGGAGAAACTTCCGGATTGGACAGTCCACTTTAAGAACATAAAAAATAACCTCGGACACGCACCCAACGCACGCCCACACGGCAGAGGAGGGTTGCGTTTTATCCCACAATCACCGCAGGAGTACAGTATTATCCAAAAATACCTGTTCGAAATAGCAAAAACCACACAAATAAGCTGGCATTGCTATACGCCACCGGAAGAAATGCCAACGCGAGCAGCAATAAGACGATTGCCGCCCGACACAAACAAGGAAGAAATCCAGGAGGCGCTCCAGCTCCTAGACTTCCCAGTAAAACACGTAAAGCTGATACCACCCCAGAGACAAAGACCTGGAGGCCTATTCTTTGCCGCATTTGACCATCTAAGTAATGCTGAACTAAGCAGATTATACTCAATCAAAGAACTGCTGAACATGCCGGGCATAGAAATTACAGGCTGGAAGGGTAGAACCGGACCGCCACAGTGCCATAGGTGCCAAATTTTCGGCCACTCCTCAGCAAATTGCCATAGACCCGTCCGCTGCGTCAAATGCGCGGGCGAGCACATATCATCTGAGTGCGATATGGCGGCGGGGGCGCAGCCAAAATGCGCCAACTGCGGCCGCGCACACACGGCGAACGATCGTAGATGCCCAGTATACATTAAAGAAGCCAGGAAACGGGGCATACCAAGATCAGCCCCCTTACCCGACCCTCCGCGAAACAATAATATAACGGACGCAGAGGGCTGGACAACGGTCGGAAGGCGAACGACCGCAAACACAGACAATACGGCGCCGCAATCCGCTCCTCGACATAAACAAAACCGTCCACCAATCAACCATAACAGGGCGAGAAAGAGAAAGGAGACAATCCGTCCCGCTCCAACATCAACGCCCCACCGCCAGGAGACCCACCCGCGAGGGAGCGAGCGCGCCAATCGCGTCGTCCCACCGTGATACAGCGACGCGCTATATAAGCGCAGAACGACCGCCCGTCGCGCCTCATAGGCGCGCGCCTGCGGAGCCAACCGGACCGCCGCCTACGACGCTACAGCCACCGGCGAACGCGCCTATACCTCGAATTAAAAAGAAGACACGTAAGCCCAAACGCCGACGTCGGAACGTCGAGCAGTCTACTGCCGAATCTGCCATAGATAGTGATAGGGACTCGCGTTTTAGATCTAGGAACAGTGAGGTGCAGTTTTGACTGCGCCGACCAACGCGCTTAGCAGCGGTTCTGTTTCAACGTCTTAGGGCTAGTGGATACCTAACGGTGCTAACGAAGCTAGCCAAGGCTTGCCCCGATCGCCTTGCGGTTCTCTCCTGAGAACCGCGAATTTTCGGAAGGGACCACCATCACTGGCCTTGGGTGTAGTCCCTAGTCAGCGGTGGTCCACGTTTGGCCTTTTAGCGCCCTCGGGTAGTTATAACTAGCTATAAGTACACACCCGTGTGCACAATAAGATCGGCACAAGGACGCACTAGGGCCACACAATTTAGGCACTCATCCTCCCTGCCTATACCCGGCAGGGAGGGATACGGGCACACACCCCGGCATCCCACCGGGCGTATTAAAATTATTACGCATTAATTTAAAAAATGGCCGAAGTAAAGGCCATCCTCGGTCTACTCCGGGAAAAATTCCCGGAAGCTATCCCCGACACCCTTGAGGTGTTACGGGGACTCTCTAGGCCCTCCTCAAGGGCATCCTCCGAAAGCGCCGAAGCGAACTCCTCCTCCTCGCAAGAGGAAATGGAGCTCGACTCGCCGCTCTCCCCCGACGCCGATGAAGGCGGCCTGTTCACCCAAGTGGTGAACAAGAAGAAGCGCAAAAAGCGCTCTTCGCAGCCGTCCTCAGCGGCTCCGTCCCCCGTTCCGCCAGTCAAGGCGCCAAGGCCGACCGAATCGGCCATAGCCGGGCCCTCGAGGCCCACTCCCCCGACACCACCGCCTTCAGCGAAACAAACCCCGGTTGCTTCTCAACCAACCCCCGCGCCTCCCGCAGCCCCACGTGCGCCGCAGGACAAGCGCCCACCCCCTCTCTTCATTCGAGACACTGAAAAGTGGCCGATGATTGCCTCCGCCCTCTAATAGGCTAAAATTTGTAGCTACTACAACCGCACAAGGCATCAAGCTTCAGCTTGAAACTGCCGACGCCCACCGTCAAGTATCCAAATTTTTAAGGGATAAACAGGTGTTCTACCACACCTATACGCTGGCCGAGGATCGCATCCTACGCGCCGTCATTAAGCGTATACCCGCAAACATTCCCACCGAAACGGTGCTAGACTCCCTTAAGGAGCAAAACCTCCCCGTTCATGCGGTCCACCGCATGAAAAGCAAAAGAAAGCGTAGCCCAATAGACATGGTCATGGTCCATCTAGACCTCTCTCCTGAGGGGAAAGCTATATTCAATATTGAGTCAGTCATGGGACTGACCAATCCCAAATTTGAAAAAAAAATTGTCATCGAACCTCCACACAAGGCCACCCTCCCGGGACAGTGCCACAAATGCCAAAATTACGGGCACGCCGCCCGTAACTGCTTTGCCAAGCCCAGGTGCGTAAAGTGCCTAGGCGACCACGGCACCCCGGAATGTCCCAGACCAAGGGACAAGGCCCTTCTGGCCAACTACGGTCCACCCGCATGCGTCCTCTGCCAGTCGGAAGGACACACAGCCAATTATCTTGGCTGCCCGAACGCACCTAAGCGCAGACCCATTAGGCCTGCCCCTCAGGCAACAAGACGGCAGCCGATTCCAACGGCCGCCTCATTCCCTCCTCTTCGCCCCGCGTGGCAGAACCCCATGGCCCCCGCTTGGGCCAAACCGAATCCGCCACTCGCGGAACCCAAAGCTGCCCCTCAACCGGCGCTCAACCCAATGCCACCAAAAGCGGCCGGGGGCAACCCCCTGGACTCGCTAAGTCAACTCCACCGCACCGTCGACATGGCGGAAGTAATGCACTTTGCCGAGCAGTATGCCAAAGGCAATTTCAGCTCGCGATTACTACTACTAGAACAGTACCAGCACATAGTTGCGCAAGGAAGGGCGTACAGGGGAACCGCCGTCCTTGTGCGGAGGGACTTCATACACGACGAGTTGGGACTCAATCGATTTATTTCTTTATCTTCCATAGGTGTGAGGTTACATGTGGCTGGGAGGGAGATTCGAACCTATGCCGCCTATAGACCTCCGCAGTCACATCTCCACCCATCGGATATTCATGCAATTTTTGATAATACCTCCCCCGCGCTTATCGTTGGCGACCTCAATGCCAAACATGTGGATTGGGGGTCGCACACGACTAATACCGCGGGGAGGGCACTCAACGGGGACGCGGACCGGTGGGGATATGATGTGTTGGGTCCTTCAGAGCCAACACACTACCCTGCCAACGTGGCCCAAGCCCCCGACGTTTTAGACATTGTATTAAACCACGGTTGGGATCGTCCGCTCAGACTTGAGGTACTGTACGACGTAGACTCCAACCACTTGCCCCTACTTGTCTCGCTTGATTTGGAGGCGACGAGTATTGCGCCTAGACCTCCAAGAATTAGGACCGACTGGGGTAAATTTCAATCTTTATTAAAAGATTTTTCGCTACCGGAGCAGATTACCACCCCGGAAGATGTTGAGCGCGCAGCTGTTAAACTTAGCCAACGTATTACGGAGGCTAAGGAGGCGGCCTCAAAAACACTTCCGGATAGTGCCCGGTACGACATACTACCAGCAAGTAATACGCACGCTTATAAAACAAAAACTAATACTATCTATATAGCCGTTGCTATGATCACAGTTTACTGTTGTCATAGCAAACGCTGACGCAATTAGCGCGTGTGTAAATAGTGACTGTCAGTTGTAGACAATTAACACTACATGATTAATTCATTAATTATGTAGTGTTGAATGTAAACAAAGGGCGGTCCATTTACGTATGCACTAAGGGCGATTGTTATACTATCAAGTGAGATGACGTAACGTAAATTCACGCGTCACGTCATAGTGTCCGAGCCGAGTTAGGCGAAAACATTTCCCGGGGGGACGGTGCGCCCCTCGAGACAATGCCCGGGGCATGGGGTTCGAGTCCCCGATACTCGTACCCGCACCTACCCGACTGTTAGGGCAGTGTGTGGACGACCCGTGTGTGTGTGTGTGTGTGTGTGTGTGGAAAGGACGGCTCTGGAAGCTCACCTGCCAGAATCTACACCCAGGCGACAGCAAGTGCAGCAGACAGTGAAGCTACTACCCGCGCTTTTCATTTGTAAAAGTGCCAGGCAGTGCGCGTACGTGAGTGCGTTTTCGATTCCCCAATCGTTTGCAACCCGCGCACCTCTCCCTGCTCGCTGGGCGACTCGCTGGGCCTCCCTTCGGGGTCTCACCCGGTTAGTTTGCCTGCGCTGAGGGGAGTAGGGTGCGCGTGTGTTCGCCGGGAACCTAGCACCGCCACCAACATCGGCCCGTACGCGCAATGGAAGGTGAGGGGGAACCTCCCCCGCAGCCCCAAAGGCGCAACCGGCGCCAGATGCCGGTAGTGGACCGTCAGCTCGCCGAGAGAAATATTTTCTCCGGTGAACCGCCGCGTCCACTGCCGTCCATCCGCACCATGAGTGCGCAACGCCCCGGCAGAACATCGCCGGGCGCGAATTCATCCACCACTGATGAAGACGAAGACGAGGAGGAGTCAACATCTACTGCAACCACCATCAGGCGGCCGCCGCAGCCCACACGGGCAAGCGGGAGCGGAGAGATCGCAGGGGGCTCATATTTCTATGCAGCCCCCGCGGATTATACCCCCCCGCCACGCCAGCCGAAAGCGCAACGACGCCACACCCCGCCGGAGACGGAGGCGTCTCTCACGGAGAAGCGGACGAAGGTGGGCCCCGCTACCTCATCACCAGAGCAGGGGTCACACTCTCAGAACCGTGAATCACAGGTGAGTCAACCTGGGGCGAGGGCTTATTCCCAACCCCCCAGGTCACCATCCATCAACACCACTCCGGCCACTACCCCCAGCATGTCCCCGGATAGGAGGTCCAATAGGGACCTCGATATGGAGGAGCTTGTGGGGTGGGGGGGGGGGGGAGTCGGCCTGGACGGACCCGACCTCTTACGCGACTTTCGCGAACGAAGGCATCAACAGAGGTGCCAACGTAACACCAAACGTCATAGAGCCGCAGCCGTCAACATCCTACGCTGCGGCCGCGATTAAGCCACCATCTCCCAATACTCTGCGAAGGACAAGTTCGCCTAAGGCGACAATCAATACTAACACCAAGGAGAAGCCCACCCAGGAGTCCACCAGAAAGGGATATCCACCCATAATGGTGGAAAAACTCCCGGAGTGGACTAAACATTTTATAATACTCCAGCAACAACTCGGCCACGCCCCAAACGCGAGACCGTATCGCAGCGGATTTAGGTTCCTGCCGCAATCGCCGCAAGAATACTGAACGGTACAAAAATACCTAATAACATTATCAAAAACCATCGAAGTGTCTTGGTATTGCTATACGCCGGCCAGCGAACTCCCTACTAAAATAGTGATAAAGGGGCTCCCGGAAAGCACTGCAGCAGAGGACATTATGGAGGCCCTACTCAGCATGGGCTTCCCAGCGAAGTTTCTTAAACTTATACCCAGGCAGAGGAGGCGACCAGGCTGCCTATTCTTCGTTCAATTAGATCACTTGAACGAACAAGATCTCGCCCGGCTATACGCTATAGACGAGCTACTAAGTATGCCGTGCGTTGAACTCTTTTCCTGGAAGGGACGTACGGGGCCCTCACAGTGTCACCGTTGCCAGTCATTCGGGCACTCATCGGCTACGTGCTACAAACCGGTGCGTTGCGTTAAATGTGCGGGCGAACACATCGCATCGGAGTGCCCACTGCCGCAGGGAGCGCAAGTGAAGTGCGCGAACTGCGGCAGAAATCATACCGCAAATGATTATCGTTGCCCCGTCTACAAAAAAAAAGCGCGTAAACGGGACATACAATTGAATGCGCCCACACCAGAACCGCCGAGAAACGCAAATGCAGACGGCTGGACAACCGTGGGCAAACGCGCAACCGCGCGCCCTATACAACGCGGGGAACAACACCCCCCGCCCCCGCACCGCCACCCGAACGAGAAGCCATCGCGCACCGAGACAGTGCGGCGCCACAAGCGCCCGCCCACTCAGCGCGCCCAACCCAAAGACGAGCCGTTGCCACGCAACCGCGTGAGCAGGACGGGAACACTGGAGAGCGACAAGGCGGGCGCTATAAAAGCGCTGCACGACCGCCTGTCGCGCCTTTTTCATTCCGCTCGCAGCAGTCGAGACGAACGCACGCCTTGGCACGCGCTCTCTCTACTCTGCTACTCCCCACCCCTGTCCGCTTCCGCGTGCCGACTCGCTCGCCGCGGACGCTCAGTCGTCGCGCACCGCGCGCCGCGTTCACTCGTAATTGTTATTACGAGTGGGCACCCCGCTCGCAAGTCGAGTTGCGAGGTGCAGTTCTGACTGCGCCGACCAACACGCTTAGCAGCGGTTCTGTTTCGGCGTCTTAGGGCTAGTGGATACCTAACGGTGATAACGAAACTAGCCAAGGCTTGCCCCGATCGCCTTGCGGTTCTCTCCTGAGAACCGCGAATCTTCGGAAGGGACCACCATCACTGGCCTTGGGTGTAGTCCCTAGTCAGCGGTGGTCCACGTTTGGCCTTTTAGCGCCCTCGGGTAGTTCTAATTAGCTATAAGTACACACCCGTGTGCACAATAAGATCGGCACAAGGACGCACTAGGGCCACACAATTCAGGCACTCATCCTCCCTGCCTATACCCGGCAGGGAGGGATACGGGCACACACCCCGGCATCCCACCTGGCGTATTAAAAAATATTACGCCGTAAATTAAAAAAAAATGGCCGAAGTAAAGGCCATCCTCGGACTTCTCCGGGAAAAAATCCCGGAAGCTATCCCCGACACTCTAAGATGTGTTACGGGGACTCTCAAGGCCCTCTTCAAGGGCATCCTCGGAAAGCGCCGAAGCGAACTCCTCCTCGCAAAAGGGAAATAGAGCTCGATTCGCCGCTCTCCCCCGACGCCGATGAAGGCGGCTTGTTCACCCAAGTGGTGAACAAGAAAAAGCGCAAAAAGCGCTCTTCGCAGCCGTCATCAGCGGCCCCGTCCCCCGTTCCGCCAGTCAAGGCGCCAAGGCCGACCGAATCGGCCATAGCCGGGCCCTCGAGGCCCACTCCCCCGACACCACCGCCTTCAGCGAAACCAACCCCGGTTGCTTCTCAACCAACCCCCGCGCCTCCCGCAGCCCCACGTGCGCCGCAGGACAAGCGCCCACCCCCTCTCTTCATTCGCGACACTGAAAAGTGGCCGATGATTGCCTCCGCCCTCTCTAATAGGCTAAAATTTGTAGCCACTACAACCGCACAAGGCATCAAGCTTCAGCTTGAAACTGCCGACGCCCACCGTCAAGTATCCAAATTTTTAAGGGATAAACAGGTGTTCTACCACACCTATACGCTGGCCGAGGATCGCATCCTACGCGCCGTCATTAAGCGTATACCCGCAAACATTCCCACCGAAACGGTGCTAGACTCCCTTAAAGAGCAAAACCTCCCCGTTCATGCGGTCCACCGCATGAAAAGCAAAAGGAAGCGCAGCCCCATAGACATGGTCATGGTCCATCTAGACCTCTCTCCAGAGGGGAAAGCAATTTTCAATATTGAGTCAGTCATGGGACTGACCAATATTGTCATCGAACCTCCACACGAGGCCACCCTCCCGGGGCAGTGCCACAAATGCCAGAATTACGGGCACGTCGCCCGTAACTGCTTTGCCAAGCCCAGGTGCGTAAAGTGCCTAGGCGACCACGGCACCCCGGAATGTCCCAGACCAAGGGACAAGGCCCTTCTGGCCAACTACGGTCCACCCGCATGCGTCCTCTGCCAGTCGGAAGGACACACAGCCAATTATCTTGGCTGCCCGAACGCACCTAAGCGCAGGCCCGCCCCTCAGGCAACAAGACGGCAGCCGATTCCAACGGCCGCCTCATTCCCTCCTCTTCGCCCCGCATGGCAGAACCCCATGGCCCCCGCTTGGGCCAAACCGAATCCGCCACTCGCGGAACCCAAACCTGCCCCTCAACCGGCGCTCATCCCAATGCCACCAAAAGCGGCCGGGGGCAACCCCCTGGACTCGCTAAGTCAACTCCTCCGCACCGTAGACATGGCGGAAGTAATGCACTTTGCCGAGCAGTATGCCAAAGGCAATTTCAGCTCGCGTTTACTACTACTAGAACAGTACCAGCACATAGTTGCTGCGCTTTCAGTGTAAACCAATATGGATAGCACAACTAGGAATAATAATAACGAAAATATTAGTCCCTCTGCCACGCGTAATAACGGCAGAGCCAAACCGCGATCGATAAATGTAGCATTTTACAACGCAAACGGGCTTAAAGAGCAACGCGACGAAATACGTATCTTCTTACGCGACCACCAAATAGATATTCTACTAATACAGGAGACGTTCCTGAAACCTGCGACAAGGGATCCGCACATCCCCAACTATCGGATAGTTAGAAACGACCGTGCCGGCGCCGCCCGGGGCGCCGGCACACTAATTTACTATAAAAAATCCCTCCACTGCGTACCGGTAGACACGCCCGCGCTCACGCATCTAGAGGCATCCGTCTGTCAGCTGGCACTAACTGGCCACTCTCCCATCACTCTAGTATCAGTCTATCTCCCTTGCAGACCAACCGCAACTATATTGCAATCCGATTTTGAGGCCCTCTTCTCCATAGGAGGAGCCACCATATTAGCTGGCGACTTCAACAGCAAGCATATCCGATGGAACTCGACACGCACCAACAGTCGAGGCACCGCACTCGACTCGCTATCCGACAGGCTCGACTTTGAAGTTGTAGCCCCAGTCGAACATACGCACTTCCCTTATATAGAGGGACAATCATCGGATGTGCTTGATATTGCAGTCGTCAAAAACATCAATCTGACCATGCGCGACCCGGAAGTGATTCACGAGCTTCACTCTGATCACCGACCAGTCCTCCTTCGGCTAGGGCCCTCAGCAATAGCCGCCCCCAAACCAAAACAGTCATTAGCTGGCATAGAGTCAAAACTAAACTTAATGAGCCCAATTCAATATTAGAGTCGATCCCCGACCAACTGAACAACAAACAGGACACGGAGACCGCAATTCGGGCCCTCACGAGTCACGTCAACACCGTCGTCGAGCAATGCTCGAGACAGGTTCCAGCGATGGACGACCATCGCTGGGCCCTGCCAGACGATGTACAAGACTTACTGAGGCGCAAGAATGCGGCCACACGCGCCTACGATAGATATCCCACCGACTCGAATCGTAGACTGCTACGTAAATTACAACGCGAAGTCAAAACACGTATAGCAGACTCACGAAACGAACGGTGGGACTCCACCCTAGTCTCAATAAAACCATCCCACTAAGCCTTTTGGGAACTTCCTAAAACCCTCAAAGGTATAGCCACTCCAAACATGCCACCACTAGTTCGCCCGATAGGAACGCCAGCAATGCTGGACGAAGAGAAAGCCGAATGCCTAGCTGACAGCCTAGAGGCCCAATGCTCCCCCAGCTTGCTTCCGACCCACCCCGATCACCTCCGTAAGGTGAACGAAGAGGTCGAAAGGAAAGCATCGGAACCACTCCGCGATCCCGTTCCCCCGGTCACGTGTTCAGAACTCGCAGAAACAATAAACAAACTGCGCCCACGCAAAGCGCCTGGCTCAGATGGTATCACCAATAAGGTGACCAAACTTCTCCCTACTAGCATCCTTCAGATACTAGTCTTAATTTACAACGCGGCTATAACCGAAGGCTTCTTCCCGTCCGAGTGGAAAGAAGCTGACGTAATAGGGTTCCTCAAACCTCACAAACCCGCGACCCTCCCAACCTCTTATCTTCCAATAAGTCTTCTCAAAACATTTGGGAAGATCTTTGAAAGACTAATTTTAGCCCGACTAAGATCCCTTATGGACGCCAAAGGGCTCTCCATCCCTGAACAGTTTGGCTTTAGAGCCAAACATTCTTGTACCCATCAAGTGCACCGCATCACGGAGCACATACTAGTCAAACGCCAACGCGGACTCAACACCGGAGCACTCTTCTTGGACGTGGCAAAGGCCTTCGATAAAGTCTGGCACAACGGGCTCGTA